TAATTCCAGAACAGCTCCATCAGGCTGGAACCCACGAAGAACCTTCCATCCAGACTATCCGACCGCCTCCGCCAGCGCCGCACGAAGCATCCCCTAACACGTGTGCGCCCACCACCTTCCCGGACTTCGCGGGCGCTGCAGTTTGCGAAGTTAATTACCGCCGGATAATTGCACCCTATATGCCGTCCGTCTGATTAATGAGGCGCGGCCGGGCGAGAATCGTCAGGGATACCGGAACCTTCACTCGACCCTTCTCCCTTTCTCCTTTGTCGTCAAGGAGCGACCTCGCGATCCCCTCCGAGACAATGCGTTATTAGTTCGCGCTCGATTACGGCTCCCGTTGCTTCGCGACGATTCTTGTGGCCATCGCACGAATGGCGAATTCAGATGAGTTTCACGCGGATTGATTCGCAAAGAGTTAACGATTTGGGATAAATACTTAACGAACTGTGCCAGTTCTTTGAACTTACGCTCTTAATTGCCGACATGTTGCCGATCGACTTTTGCGTAAGAAAAAAACAACAGAGAGATTGGATATTTTTCTCAATGGAACTTTGATCATTTATCGCGAAATATGAGCAAAGCGAAATTTCACTTTTTGTTTCAATCCGCTACGTCGTTTATTATGTCCCAATTCTCAGGTTGTAATTTCCTTATAATTATGAATGTATCCGAAATTCACTGAAATGTGATTGCTTGCGGAGTTAGGGGAACTCGGATGAATTAATATCTGCGCAATCATGGTATTGCTCTCGCTTATCTCTAGAGGTTGTTCTGGAAACGATTCCTTCGAGAAATCCTCGGGAGAGCGCACAGGCTCCCACAGGAAATGCTTTTCGCACAACTTGCGGTTACCTTGCGCGAGGTTGCAAAGCAGCCGCCTTCTTCGACCAGAATCCTTCATGCCTGAAGAGGGAAACTCAGCAAGATCTCGAAAGGTTGCCTGAAACGGCGGGAGGGCTTGATTACTGACTTTGCGTCGCGACGTCAATTCCGTCTGATATGCCGCACATGCTTACGAGGACACTCTATACGGGTAAATGATCAAAGAGCGTTGATTGTTAATTAATTAACATTGGGGAGTGCATCAGATTATGTAATCAAGACGCAGACTCAGATTTCAGCGCGAATTGTACGCGTTGACTCAACAAATTATACGTCGACAAATTATATAAACATAATATAATTATATGCGTAGAGCGAAACGTATAAAATGGATACGCGGTGTGAAAAATCGGGGGTGGATTCTATAAACGACTTTACGTTCGTTTGAATAGTACAGGTGTCTTTAATAAAGTCTACTTTAAACGTTTCCGCGACGCATTATTGCAAATCCAGGAGATCAGTGGCACAAATTACAATTCGCACATTCCCATAGATCGTCCCATTTCTGCCAAAGTCCCATTTCTGCCCATTTAACCGAGTCAAATGCGAAACATCGTGTGTATTTTCATCTCAGCGATTTACCGTGCTGACAGCCGCTAGTAGAACACCGGCTTTTGCAATTCATGATCTAGAAAAGCTCCAGCAAGCTTTCGAAACGGCGACGAATACAGGCCTGACTGTTTGTTTTCAGCGCGGGACGAGTGTAACTGAACGTTTTCAACCGCAAAATGATGCCCGCGGTCGCGGGCATCGTGTAAACACGCGCATTCAACGCCGGCAAAACCGTCTTTCTCTATTTTTTTTACGCCCTTCTCTGACGTACTACGCTTTTGTTCTCCTTTTGCCGCGGGCGATGCCTGCACTACATAGATGCTCATTTGCACGTAGCGTTCCATCTCTCGCTGTATCTACCGTCGTCCCGCGCCGTTATCTCAAACATCATAATCAGCAATATGATACGCTTGAATACAATATGTATCTAGGAAAGTCTCCTATTATGAGACAAGTTCCTAATACGAGACAGCAGGGTTTCTGCTAAATCAATAGGCATCATCTGTCGGTTCTGCCGTGAATTTAATGCCTTTTCTCGACAAATACAGATGCAGAAGTAGCGGTTCGAAGCGCCATCCAGACGCAAATGCGAGTTCAAGTCTGTACAGATCGAGATACCCAAAAATTAACCAACAAATTTAAAATGTCGCAAGCGCCAAAGATAGGTTCGACTTGCCGCTCTCTATGGAGATTTGCCGGTATACGCGATCGTTTCTTCTAATACCCATAAATCGCATTTTTCGGCAATGGAGATTTTACCCACGCTTTAACGCAAAAGGATTACGGTGGCCCGCGCGTGCAACGTATGTCCAATTTATCGCTACTGTTATCATTCACGTTCATCGATCGAGGCGATATGAATGTAATCATCGTCGCAGCAATGGCATAAAATTTACTGCACCGGCGGTAAAATTTACCGTTGACCAGCACGCCCGCTGTCCACGAGGTCGTTACGAGTGAACCGAACGATCGAGAATCGAGCGATCTGATCGATCTAATCCAGCCGCGAGGTGTCTCTGTTGAAACAACAGATTCAGAACCGATCATCTTACGTGGCGCTGAAATCTTTCTACTGCAATGCGGACGCTACCGGATTGATTGGAGGAATATCAGCCACGCGGGAATATCAGTAAACGTTACTCTATGACACGGCTTAGCGAGATGCCGGCGGGAGATACGGCACGTCTCTGATTGCGTTTCTTAGCTCACAGCCACCCCCTTACTGTCCATCCCGTCTGTCACCACCCCTCTCGGCGCCAACCGCACTTGTCTCTCTCCCCTTCTGCCCTCTCCTCTTAACAGCGCAGCTATTCTCTCGCGCGGTTTTTCTTTCGGTCCAGAAAAGTCCCAGGGTCGGATTGAACCCTTTCGCCTCGAGATTTCTTTTAGCTTGTCGCCAGTCCCGCTTCCGTACGATGCTCGGATGTTCAGCTATCATCGTTAAGCGAGATTTATTGAGGACACTCGACAGCACTTGTCCGTTTAACGAAGTTACGTTCATATATTCGGGACACTAAATCCCGATTGCCATTTACCAAATGCGCGTTTCTTATCTCGATTTAACTTTAAACCCCTTCGACTTGACCATTGATCTCCGAGAAAGTTTTACCACGCGCGTTGATAAATAAAGTAAGAAAGAGCGTTAGTCAAAATGATCGCACGGTAAACGGCAATGCAATTGAAATAATAGAGACATTTAACTAACCTGCGCTCGAATAAAACGCAACCACCGCGGCGCAACCACGTATGGGACACCGCTAACAATCCTCAAGAGGTGAAAATTTGCACGAGCGGCCCTGAACGGAGACGGCGCGCTTAGAGTAAACGGGGAAGAGAAGAACGGAGAAGCTTTACAGAATTAAGGAGCCATTCGCCTTTCATTAACTCACTACGAGCCCAAGGGGGAGAGATATTCCCTTCGTGCTAACTCATCCCCAGTTTATCACTACGTAGACGGAGGGAGGCGACTGTCTCCGATAGAAGGACCGGACTTTTATCCTGCCGCGAGGCCATTTACCACCGTCGCTGCGCCTGGCAAATAGGTAAACGAGATCTTTCCCGATTCTCCTAAACTCTTCAACCACGATCTAGATTGCACTACTTCGTTAATCAAGACGATAGAGCGCGCAATCCGTTTGCGTTTTCCATCCCACCCCCTCGCGTTTATTTTCCTCTGAGCGTCCTCGCTTTCCGAGTTTTAGATTAAATTTGAAGTAATCGGCGGCTCTCGCCTTAATCGCCTCAATACTCCTTCAGAAAAGAGGACTCCAATAAAGTAATTATAGTTAACTTAGTTAACGAGTCCTAATTTATTTCCTTGTTTTCGTTCGCGGGGGTGGACTCGTTGATTTGAACGTTGACGTTGAGATATAATACAATTGGAGGCGTCGCGTTAACAAATGCGCCATTTTTTTTATGAGTTATTTCGTAAATTACTCGGAAGACGGATCTTCGGGGACATTTCGAAACAGAAATCGCAAAATAAGAGGATCGAGGCTATAACGCTTTTCCAGTAAGAACAGATTACCAAATTTGCGAATCACAAAGCTAATACTTTATACTTTCAGATAAAACAAAGACAGTGGTAAAAGCACCGTCGTGAATTGTATCGCTTTAACGACACTGAAACTATCATACAAATGCCCAAACATATACAGGGTACATGTTTATCCACCACCATCAATTACCGTGGTGTGCACTCGCCACCACCACCGACGTCGCTCTGCTGTCGATAGCCAACAAAAATACTCTTTTGTGCACTTGAAACTGGTTATCTCAAAACCTACGGGACGTACTGCAATCATTTTGACCTCATTTGAAAGATAATTTAAATCCACAACTTTTGTCGGTGTACTTTTCGCTTAAACATGCATTTTTCGATATTTGTAAAAATGTATACAAAATAACCGTGATTTCAAAAGTTTTCTGGGCGCTAACTTTTCAGGGAAGCATTTTTCGACCCACGTTTGTAGGAAACCTTTTGTTCAGAATTAAATTTCCCGTGAAACCACCAAGTCCGACCAAAACGTTCGGGGACACCCTGTACAGAGGAAAGTCCTCTATTTTGAGACAGCAGCTTGTCAATACCCAAATTCAATTACAAATCTTTTCTCGCAATGATTACACAAATTAACCATGAATTGTTCACTAAACGAATTTCGCCCCAAGGGTAATAAATTCAAGGTGGGATCGGCAGATGACGCTTATTAATTTAACGGAAACCGCTGCTATCTCATTTTAGGAGCCTATCTCATAATAGGAGACCCTTCTCTACACACACGATGAGACGTTCCTATTAAAAATGTCATCGCGCATAGCATTTATCATCGTACTCCGTGCTTCCTCGCAGAAAAGTCATGGTTTCGGACTCTCCCGAAATAAAAGACGCTTTGCGATGTTCAACGCGCCGCACGCGTTAATCCTCTTTCAGTTAACACTGCGCCAAATTGGGAAAACACCCCGAGTCTCAGAGATCCGACCGCCAACAAGCAGCGAGTTAATCTTTACACGGCGGACGGGCTGCGCTCGAACCACGCATCGACTTTTCGGTTGTTGAGACTCACCGGGATCGGAAGAGGGATGCGCTCTGGTGAGTCTGCAGAGTTGTAATGGCAGATAACGAGTATCCGCCCGCGGTGGTGACTTCGGCGGCGGCGGCGTCGCGCTCAGGAAACCGCGTTGAAGTTCCCAGCCCACTTCCTGGATGATCGAAGCCTTCCTGAAGTACGGCGTCACTTCCCGCAGGTACTTCACTGCAACAAGAAAACACACCGTCAGAGCGTCTCGCCAACTGGATCAGGTGAAAATACACGACGCTTACATTTTATCTCTTAATGCTCTCACGACGATTCTACACAACGGATCCGTCCGTTTTAGTTACTTTGACTAAGCTTTCTTACTTATTTCTTCTATCATACATGTATGCGCGTAGTTATTTTTCTTCTCGTTCTATAATCTCAGCCTTGTGTACTCGTAGATGATCATTTTGTTATAGAAAACGCGAGCAACCGCGATTAACGCTGTGGACTCGACATTTCCGCGTCGCTAAACTGCTTCCAGTTTCACTTTTTATCGTAATGCAGCGTGAATTTCTATACATATACACTACAGATAATTACATTCTATCATACTGGCGTGCCATTAGTAAGTTTAACAATAATAGTGATAATCCCAATTTTATCCCAAACATTTACGTCAATGAAAGACCTACATTTTATTTAAAAAAAAACACTTTTCCTCAACCCGAGTCAAAATTTTGATCCTATGTTAAATCTATTATAACTTTTGCCAATTTAGCATTAAAGTAGGTCCTTTTAAGTAGGAGCTAAAGTAAATTTTTAGAATTAAAGATTCAAGGGAAAAGTACAAAAATATGTCATCAAAGTAGATTATTGCTGGTCTAGGTAGGTGTATGTATAGATCAGCTAAGTAGGTGTAAATTATCCACAAAAGTGTCAAAATAGTACCAAAATTTCAACTCGGGAATACTTGTATTTTTTATTATGCAGAACCGCAGTTTCTTATTTCGAAGACACGTTATTTTACTTCCCTTCAGACCATTTATCTTCATCTGGAAAAGAAGCGACCGCGGATCCGCGAATGGGTCCATCATCGAAGGGAGACTTGCGAGTTTTTCGAAAAAAAAAGAAGGAAACTTGAAAACGAAGAAAAGCAATTTATTTCTGATGTACGTTATATTACTCGCATGAGCTGGAATGCCCGCGCGTTCAAGGACCTGCGAGAATTCGGGTAGGAAAATCTAACTTTCTTTTCGACAGACGCGCGGGTCTGAAACGAAAGTCGTGTCGCGGAAATCGAGTATCGACCTTTCAAATTGCGGGGTCTCCTTCGCTTAGCCGACATCTTGTCGGTCCTATTACGCGAAATTTAATGGAGAACGTCACGTGGCGACAGCGGCGGCACGACGGGAGCGGAATTCTGATGTATCGCATCCACGATGATCCAATATGTTTGCCATAAGGCTCCACGTGGGGACGGTACGCGCAAGCCAGCTGTATTTACTCCCTCTCGAATGTCATTTCCGTTGATCACGCCAATCCCCGTGATTCAATGTATCAGAATTCCTCGGCATTTAGCGCTCAAGGCTGCTGCCCTGACTTTAGTTTCACGCGGCATATCCGGAATCGAACTGCAGTCACGTAGAATCTTCGCGCGCGAGTAAGAATTAATCAC